CCCCCCCCCCCCCCCCTCATCCCTCCATCCCAATCCTGTGTTTGTTGGGTCTCTGCTGGAAGACAATCAGTGTTTGCTTTTCTTATCAGACAGCTACTTGTAATGTGACAGCCCAGTGAAGAGATGGACTGGGCAGCCAGCTGACAGCTAATCCAGACCCTGCATCCATTAGGAGAGAGATAAGAACTGGGAAGACATCCCTGGACCACCCCACTCACAACGCACATGAAAATGTAAAACGTTGCTCATACACGGGATCATAGGTGATAGAGAACATTTGTTTAGGCCCAAGCTTGACGTAGACATTGAAGGATAGTTCAGTGTGTACAGTATATATGATCCATGTCATAATGCCTTTGACCAGCATCAGCACCGGGTGGGAACACACAGGTCATACAGACAAAATCAGACTATTATTATATTGCACCTTACCAGTCCATAGATGTGATGGCTGCATTAGTTTTCTTTTTTTGACTAAGTACAGTTTCTATAAGTACAGGAAACCCCTGCGTATCTTTCCAGAATTTTTAACTTACCGTACACTCTAATCAAATCTCAGACAATGTTATCTGCCTTCCTAGCTATCCTTTGTGAACTACAAAACACTTCCCTGCAAAGTCATGGAAATGACGAGGGGAAGGGGTGTTTGTAGGCCAAATCAGAAGTGCAGCTTAGGGTGATAACGCTGCTCTTCCAGGGATACAGTATGGTGAGTGGGCATTGTCGCCCTAGCACAGGATTTGCATTACTGGCAGGATCACCAATGGAAGACTAAAGGTAAAGATGGCTGAAAATAGGATATGAATGCCACCGCCACCACCACATCTAAGGACTGATAAGCTGCAATATATTACATTTTTGTCATTGGGCTTAGATACACTTTTATGTTCCATTCACATGGGGAAATCTGGCATTCCTGCAGCAGGAATGTCAGGTTTCCCTCTTCAGATGTGGCCGCTGTGCCCACTGAAATAAATTACAGGGTGACAGCGGCTGCATCTCTCAGCGGCAGTCCGCATGTAATCATTCATGGTAAAAATTATTTGTGGTTTGGCATAGGTGACTGCATCTATCCTGCGTCCAGTGATAGTTACCTCTTCCAAACCGCCACTGCCAGATGGGGCCACCGTCACCCTGTCATTTACTTAAATGGGCACAGTGGCCGCATCTGAATGGGCACATCAGGATTCCTGGTGCAGAAATGAGGCCTGAGCAGCCCATAGACATGAGATGGCTGTCACATAATCTGGATGGAAATGGTGGCAGGATTCTTGGAGGGGACATTGATTAGGTAGGTAAGAAAACCTGTCCTGATTTCTATAGCTCTCCCCCTGAGATAGACATTTCGGGCAGCTTCTTCATGCCTTAATCTCCTTCTCATTCACTTTCCTCCTTCAACCTCCCCCTTAAACTTGGTAAATTGGGAGAGCTGACCCTGTGAGCCTACGTGGCACCCTGCAGAGCTCAGAGGATTTGCTGCTCAGTCAGATAGGGAATTCAGATCATATCTACAAGCTGACTGACCAGCAAGGCAAGGGGGCAAGTTTCCATTGACGGCCAATGTAAGGGAAGTAGTAGAAAGGTTTGGGGTGATGGGTCTCTTACAACAGTAGGTGCTCACAGTCAGTTCTTAAGCAGTGTGCAGGGAATGATTCTCCTTAGGCTGCTATCCCAGATGTGGCTGAAGGTTGCCTCTTTGGTTGAGTATGGACTCGCAATGTGTGCAATGAAGAAAAGGCAAAAAGTAGAACATATAAAGTCCAGATTCAACTTTACTCAGACTCTTATATCATAAAGCCGACATGCTTTGGGGATTTATAGGGTCTACCTTCATTAAGGCCTGGTACTAGTGAACCAAGTGTATACTGGACTGGTAATAATTGGAGCCGCTCCAGATGCTGGTTACGGCTTAACCAGCATCTGGAGCGATCATTATTATTATTATTATTATTATACAGGATTTATATAGCGCCAACAGTTTGCGCAGCGCTTTACAATATAGGGCAGACATTACAATCACAATACAATTCAAGACAAGATGGTAAGGAGGGCCCTGCCCCTGAGGGCTTACAATCTAAAAGACTAATGATCCCTCCCATGTTATCAGTCCAGTATACACTTGGTTCAACAGTACCAAGCCCTGATGAAGGGCAACCTTTTGAACCCTC